CCCCCCCCCCCCCCCCCCCCCCCCCCCCCCCCCCCCCCCCCCCCCCCCCCCCCCCCCCCGGGGGGGGGGGGGGGATGGCCTTACGTGACTTGTAGGGAAATTAAATAGAGCAAGGGAAAGCATGACCGGCTCTGATTCAACTATTTCAGTGTTTTCAATTTTCTCTTAGGGAGTCAATTTCTCCTGCTCCTAACCATGCATTTATTGTACAGGTGGAAGGGGACCAGCTCCCTCCTGGACATACAGTCAGCCAGTATGAGACTTGTAAGATCAGGACCATAAAAGCTGGCACCTTGGAGAAGTTGGTGGAGAATCTGCTGACAGCTTTCGGGGACAATGACTTCACCTATATCAGCATCTTCCTGTCAACGTACAGAGGCTTTGCCTCCACTAAAGAAGTGTTGGAACTACTGCTGGACAGGTAAGAATCTGGAGGCGGGTGAGAGGTGACAGAAATGTAGGGCTGTTTGCAGAGTGAGGGCCGAGGTTCTGAATCACCTGCATTTGGTGTGCTGAGGGGCATGTATGGGGAAGGATTAACTGGGAGGGGTGGAGCAAACCACAGGGAGATTATTCAGGAGCCACTTTATAGTCTATTCCTGATGAAGATATCTCATAAAAATCTATAAAAGAGTTAGGAGTGTATGCTATAAATCTGGACCCCGATTGCTAAGAGATTTCAGTTACTATTTGCCACTGTAAAATTTTCTCCATGTTTTTATAATTTTATATAATTCCAGTAAATGATTAACTAGAAATCTTATTGGGTTGTCGTGAGAATTAAACATGCTGATATGTGTGAAGCATGGGGCTCAGTGTTAAATCCAGAGGAAGCAGCTCATGGGCTGTAAGAATGATGATGACGACTCCCAACAATCCCTGTGCATCAGCTGCTTTAGGGATATGCACATAAACGTCCTCCTTGATCTATGTTGTTAAGTCACATGCTATATATAGTAAAGCAGTGTATGTTGTAATTCATACACCAGTAATTGTATTTCCCACTTTATTTTTGTTTGATTTGTAATTGAACTTTGTCTTTTAAAAAATAAGCCAGGCAATTGTTTTAGAAGCATGAGAGTTCTCATCCAAATCCTAATATTTTTGGGTTTCCTGTATAAGAAAGGAAATGAGATAGGATGTTTTTGTTGGAGTTGTTGAATACTGGTTTTTAACTAGATTAAAAAAAACTGACAGTAATATGTCCTCATGTTCAATATTCTTACACTATCGGAGGGTGTAAAAAGAAACATGGATGTTTTCTCACATGGCTACCTTTTCCCAAATAACTTTCACTAGGTTTAAAAAATATATAGAAGTACAAAGAAAAGAATTAAATAGACCATAATCTAATTAGGCAGATAACACATATTAAGATTTCAAAAATAGAAGTAATCCATGTATGTAGTGAGAAGTTCAAACAGTTCCGAAAGTTATAAAAATGAGAAGTAAAAACTTCCCTTCCCTCTGGTCCCATTTCCTAGTCCCCTGCTCCCGGCGATCGCTGCACACCATGGCTTCTGTACTCCTCCCCAATTTTTCTGGGTGTATGTACGTATACATATGTGCACATTTATATAGATGCGCATCTTGTGTATGACATTTATTACATATAGATTATATACTTAAATGTGATATAAATGGAATCATAGTACACAGTCTATTCTGCAAAATTTTTTTTTTTTACTTATCTGTGTATCTTGGAGATTTATTGGTTCATTAAGGGAATTAACATATGTAAAGGGCTCATTAGAACAGTGGCTGGCATTTTGAAAGCTCACATGTAAACTATTGTTATTTCAAAATTAGAAGTTATCATATTCTTTTTAGTGGCTTTATAGTAGTTATCGAATTGATTATTCTATGGACAGACAGTTAAGCTCTCTCCAGGTTTTTTTAATTTTTAATTTTTTTTTTTTGAATTTTAAACAATGCTGCAAAGAGTGTCTTTGAATATATACCTTCTGAGAACCTGTTTGAGAATTCCACAGAGTAATTTCATGGGAGAGTGATTGATAGGTCAAAATATACAAGCACTCTAAAATGTGAAAGGTATTGCTAGATTGCCCTCCAGAAGGCTGCGCCAGTCACACTCCTGTCCACAGAGGAGGGTGCCTCTTCCTCACCTTCCCCACACCCTTGCTAACTCTGCCATCGAAACCACCCCTGCCATGATCTGGCCTCTGAGAAACAACTTGTTGTTTTTAAATGTATGTTTTTTTCCATTTATGAGTGAGGTTTAGCATTCTTTAAACTACTGATAGGGCAATTGTGTTTTCTATGAACTGCCTTTTCATATCCTTTACTTATTTTTATTTTGGACTACTGTCATCTAATTATTGATTGTCTAATTATAACTCTTTGTATATTAACAAAATTGATGTTTTGCTTATCATATGTTGGAAATATTTTTTTCTAATTTGTCCCTTGGGTTTGAAAGTTGTTTATTAACATTCTTTTTTATGAAGACATTTAAATATTTTTTATGCAGTTATATCTATCAGTCTTAAAAAAGGCCTTTTAATAATCAAGTTCTATTCCAATGGGAGTAAGGTTATTGATAACAGCGGGTTTTTCTCAAGATATTTTCCTCATGGGTGCGTACAGAGTGGAGTCCTTTGGATCGAATGTTCTGTATGTTCCGGAACATTCACAAAATGTCTCTCCTCATCATCCATTGATCTGGTTATGGCAACTCTGGACGTAGGAAGTCCTGAAGGCTTTTGCATAGCAGTACTTAAATAGTAAGCCTGAAGGGTAAACCTGTGGGATTAGTGAGTCATTTTTTTTCATAGTTTGTTTGCTTGTATAATACCTCTCACCTATAAATAGAACCTGAAGAGTTATGTGAATTTTCTCTTTGCTCTTCCGTATTTATAAAAAGGCTGCAGTATGCTAACTGTTGGCAGGCAGGAGGAGGAAATAGGTCAGCACATCAGGACTCCTGCAAGTTGTTTTTGGAATGGGCGACCTCTTCTAGTTCTGGGGTAACTCCATTGATTATAGGCCACAGATGGCCACAGTCAGTAAGGGAGCGCACGTGGGCTCCAGCTGTTCACCGCAAACAGTGGACAGACACACAGGAACTAGAGTGTTTAGTCTGTGACTTGTGGATATCCAGCTTTTATTTGATGATTTAAAAAATCTTCTCTTTGTTCTCCTATCGTAGACATTTTTGGATTTTTAAAATATTAACTAGATAATTATTAAATAACAGAATCAATATGAATTCAAGTGACATTTAATTCACACTGTCATTTAAGGTATAACTGAATGAAGAGTTACGGTTACCTTGAACCATTTGTACGGGCCAGGGCCTGGCCTTGAGTTTAATCTCATAGCGTATTTTTTCCTTGCTTCTGAGACGAGTGGAATCAATAAGTATTGAATGTCTGTAAAATACCCGTTGCTGCAGGAACACCATATGGATGAAACAGAAATATAAGGCTTGGTGGTTTCTCACCCTCGTGGTGAATTTACGGTGAAGCTGCCGGTACTGAACCTCTGGGGACCCTCACTTGCAATGCCCTCTGCACAGTTTGTAGTCATAGTTTTGTGTTCCTTTCCTTCGAGAGGACCCCAAGGATTCCATATGCTGACCCTGCAAAACCTGGATCCACCCTGAGAACTTAATACTTTACTGCAAAAGATAAGGTTTACATATATGAAACAAGTAGACAACCACTCAAGGTGGTGTAAAAATGAAACCGACATGTTCTGAGAAGTTCAGAGAAATAAATCCCATTTATTTTGCTTCCTCTGCAGAAATTTGGAGTTGTCCAGATATGTACAAACTTTAACAAGAACATTTCTTCCTCGCTCTATTTCCTACTCACACTTAGATCTTGTGACCAGATGTTAATCTTTGTTTCATTTTGATCAAAATTCAGATTCTGTGCAACACTGGGTTCTTAAATTGATTTTGAGGAGTTTTAATGTCTATAATTGGGAGGTAAGCAATTAAGTTGAACTTAACTTTTCTGAAGATAAGCTTGATGTACTATTTTCTTTTTTTTTAAATCCTGACCTGAGGATATTTTTTCCATTGCTTTTTCAGAGACAGTGGAAGGGAGAGAGAGAGACATCGATGTGAGAGCTGTCACATCGATTGGTTGCCTCCCACACATGCCCTGACTGGAGCTGGGGATCAAACCTGCAACCAAGGTACATGCCCTTGGCCAGAATCAAACCCAGGACCCTTCAGGGCTGATGCTCTAACCACTGAGCAAAACTGGCTAGGGCACTATTTTCTTTTTAATGTTTTTATTGATTTAGAGAGAGAAGAAGGGGCGGGGAGAGAGAGAGACATTGATCAGCTGCCTTGCCCCTACTGGGGATTGAGCTACAGCCCTAAACAGATGCCCCAGCCAGGAATCGAACTGGTGACCTTTCAGTTAATGGGACTATGCTCAACCAACTGAGCCACTCCAGCTAGGCGATATACTGTTTCCTTGTTAGGAAATTGTAGTAGAATTGTTTGTGAGTCTCTGTTGTATCTTTTAAAATAATTTCTCTTGGTTTCATAATAATAGATTGCTTATCTTTTGTGAAATTGACACTGAAAAGTTATTGTAGGATGTGCTAATCCTAACCAGTCAGGAATGGATTGAAGGCAGATGCTACAGTATTTATTTCCCTCCAGAGAAAAGCTTGTTTGAAGTCAAGCTTTGATTTTCCTTAAGACTTCCAATCACGTGGCTTTTCTCCTGTGGAACTGTTTGTTTTCTGTCACTTAAAAAAAAATCTTTTTATAAATTTTTTTTATTCTGCTAGTATGAGCCTTTGTGTTTGACCAGTAGACAGTGGTTTAAAGTCCCACATAGCTAATTCCGTGTGTTTGCTTTACCCTGTACTTGGGGTGATCAGCAATTCACAAAGGATCCTGCTTTCTGTGCTTCTCACCATGGCCCAGAGTTAATTCTAGGGCTCACTGGCTTCCTTTCAGTCTAAGAGAAAGTTTTTGACTGTGGTTTAGCTGTTTGTGTTGGGGCTTTGAGATTTTATCTTCTCTAACTTTAAACATACATTCCACTTAAAAATAAATCTTCCCACCGTACCATTAAAAAAAAAGGTAAGGGAGTAAGTTTCCTCTGAAAATACCCAATGTCAAATGTAAGGAGAGCTAACTCAGCCAGTGATCCTCACTGAGGACCAAGTGACATTTGCACAAACATGTAGATTTGTCTTCAGGCAGCTGTCACATTAGCTACCTTGGAGTTGTTTCTTGGTGATTCTCGCATTTTGCATCTCTGATATCAGAAGTAAGCAAAGTGCCAAGAACAAGCAGAGTAGGGCTGAAATGGGTCCCCAGAAACTTCCGCTAAGTCACTAATGGCACTCAGGCCGCAGCTTGGAAAGGACTGAGCAGGAGTCTGAATTACCCCTTTATTTCAAGTGAGTTCTACCAGCGGAGGACTTCTG